CCCCAGGACTGGAAACAACGCACAGATGCGGCTCATCTCACCGGAGGGAGACCGAGCAAGCCCTGGGCTGCTGCCCGCCCTTAACCGGTGGCGTGTTGGGCCGCCTCCAATAGGCCGCGCAGAAACCCCACGGCCGTCCCCCTTCTGAGCGGAGGACACATGTGGCCTTTGCAAGAAAGCAGGTTCCAGGAAAAGAGCTCGGTTGGTCTCCCCCTCCACCCACGCCGCCCCGCTGCACCTGCCACTTTACATGAGCGACGACGCTGCAAGTCTGGCCTGAGTCATAGGGAGAAGATTGAGTGACGCTCAGGAAATGCTGCTCACGGAAGCGCTAGAGTGGTGAGAGCCACGGAGATGTCTGTCAAAAGTGGCCAACAAGCCAGGCCAGCGAGCCAGGCCAGCGAGGCTGCGTCACAGGGGCCTGCCACACCTCCGCGCCATTGGGCAGCTCCATCCCTGTGCCCCGCTCCACCTGGGGCAGCTCCATCCCTGGGCCCCCCTCCACCTGGGGCAGCTCCATCCCTGTGCCCCGCTCCACCTGGGGCAGATCCATCCCTGTGCCCCGCTCCACCTGGGGCAGCTCCATCCCTGTGCCCCGCTCCACCTGGGGCAGCTCCATCCCTGGGCCCCGCTCCACCAGCACTGGCTGCCTGGGCAGCCAGACAGCCGTGGCTACACAGGCCTGTGGCAGTTGCCACCAGGGACACCTGCGGGCTTCCCAGGAGAGGCCACAGAACCCAAGGAGGGGGGAGGCAAGTCCAGGGAGCAGGGAAGGGGGAGGGGTGGGGGAGGCAGATCTGAGTAACGGAGGGGGAGAGCTGAGAGCTGGAGGAAGGACAGGAGCAGGCCCACTGGCAAGCTGGCCCAAGAGCAGAGGCCGGAGCTGACAAGATCGAGCGCCCTTTGACCCACAGGTTTATGGCTTGTGCTCCTTGAAGCACCGTGAGACAGAGCCAGGGCTGATGTGGGGCCCTGGCCAGGTTCCTGCCACTCAGGCCTGCGACACGGGCGGGGACTCCCCGGTTCAGGATGTGAGCCCTGGGGTAGGAGTGGAGGGAGGCAAGGCTACCAAAGGGGCTCGGGGACCCTTGGTGGGCGCTGCACGTGTGCTGTGTCTTCATTGTGGCGGCGGCTTCCCGGACCTCCGCGTGTGGCAAAACTTACCAGATTGTTCATTTTGTTATTATTAATTACTTTAAAGAGAAAGAGTGAGTGAGAGAAAGAAAGCACAAGCAGGAGGGGCAGACGGAGAAGGAGAGAGAATCTCAAGCAGACTCTGCGAGGAGTGTAGAGCCCGATATGGGGCTCGATCTCACGACTCTGAGCAGAAACCAGGAGCCGGACGCTTAACTGGCGGCACCACTCAGGCGCCCCAGATCATGCACTTTAAATATGTCCAGTTTAGTCAATTATATTTTTTTCTTAAACATCAGTGATTTCTTTCTCTTTGTTTTAATTTTATTTATTCATGAGAGACACAGAGAGAGGCAGAGACACAGGCAGAGGCAGAAGCAGGCATGCAGGGAGCCCGACATGGGACCCAATCCTGGCACTCCGGGATCACGCCCTGGGCAGAAGGCAGGCACTAAACCGCTGAGCCACCTGGGCTGCCCAGTCAATTATATTTCTAAATAGTTGTTAAAAATGACGAAATGAGGGGTGCCTGGGTGGCTCAGTCGGTCTTGATTTTGGCTCAGGCCATGGTCTCAGGGTTGTGAGAGTGGGGAGTCTGCTGGAGAGTCTCTCCCCCACCCCTGCTCTGTCTCCTGCGCACACACCCTCTCTAAATAAATAAATAAATAAATAAATAAATAAATAAATAAATAAATAAGTTTCTTTTTTAAAAACTACAAAACCTGTGTGGTGGCGATATTACATATGCCTCTTGATAGACGGAGGAAAGACAGGAAGGCTATTCCCCAAAATGTTCAGTGATTAGTTCTGGGTTGTGGGATTACCGAGAACTTCCATTTTCTTCTTTTCTATACTTTACAAATTTTCCAAAATAGGTATGTTCCACTTCTGTAGTCAGGAGAAAAAAGCGTTTACGTCACCATAAGAGCCGTCTCCAAGTTGCGGGGACCTTGGGAAGAGGGGCGGCGGGGGAGCCCGAGGCTGTGCGTGGGGGGGACGCTGGGTGCTCGGGGCTGGAAGAGCCTGGCCCGGAGGGAGCACCTGTCGCAGCCCAGCTCTGCCCTTTGCTGGCTGAGGGGCCCGGAGGCGGGGACTTGAGCATTCGGTGCCTCGGTTTCCCCAGTTATGACACGGAGAGGACTCCCGCAGCCTCCACCGGGGGCCGAGGGATTCCGGGCCAGGCAGGTGGCTCCCAGCAGCCTGGGGCCCCCACGGTGGAGACCCGGGAGCGGCACCTGCTGCTCCCCCCATCCTAGCTCCCAGGTATTACAAAGAAGAGAACTGACTTAAGAAAAGCTTTTTTACTTTTTTTGTTTTTTAAGATAAAAATAAGGAGGGTTGAGTAATCTCTGAAACCGAAAGCTAACTCTGGAACTGGAGGTTTCGGGAGGCTTCTCTTAACCGGTACCAGAGGTCCCTCTCTCCCAACCAAGCGCAACCCCCCGGCCTCCCGCCCGTGCCCCGCACCTGGCCACTGCACCTGCACCCCTGCCTCACCCGGTCAGGGTACCCGGGTACCAGCCACTGCTCCTCCTCCTCCTCAAGCCGCTCCCCCGGCCCGGGGTAACCTGTGCCTCCCCGGCCCCCGGGCCGTCTTCCCTTGGCCTCCCCCTGGGGGTCCGGGCGCTGGCCGAGGGCCTGAGCCGGTGCCCAGGGGGTTACCACGCTTCCCGGCCTCGTGCCCCTCATCTGTCTGGGGGCCCCTTACCTGCCCCCCCCCACGCGGTGTGCAGGAAGCCTTGCACACAGGCGTGCCCTCGGCCTCCTCGCTCACACCCTGCCCTTGCCTGCAGGTGCCTCCGGGCCGGGCGTCGTGCCCTCGGTTATGACCCCTCCATGGCCTGTCGCCTTCAAACCTCCCTGCAAGCGGCTGGCCGCGGGCGGTCACCTCGGGCTCCTCGTGCGGGCTCCCCGTCCTGGCCCTCGGGGGCTCCCTGTCCCGGGAGGCCAAGGCCGCTCGCACTCGGGGCTCGGCCCCGGCTCTGGGAGTCTGTCTGCATCCGGGCAGGTGCGGCGGCGAGGCGTGGCCATCGGGCAGGTGAGCACCGGGCCGTGCCCCAGGTGAGAGCCCTTGCCGGCAGTGTTTTCAGAGGCACCAGGCCCAAGGACTCTGATGGCTCTTCCAGCAGGAAGGTCCCCGCCCGAGCCCCCTGGGGGTGTGCGGGGTGCCGTCCCCAGGACGGCGTGGGGGAGCCGGGCAGGTGGGACGCACCTGCGCGGGTGCAGCCGCCAGGCCTCCAGTCCTCCCACCCGCCGTCGGGTCAGCTTCGGGGAGCCCCGCAGCCCGCTCTAGGCTGCACCAGTGCTCCGGCGGCGCCTGCCCGCGGCCCCCTCACGCCCACCGCGCCCACCGCCAGCTCCCACCACCCTCGCGGGCCGCTCTGCCCCAGGCCCTGCTCGCAGACCAGCCCGCCGGCACCTGCCCTGGCTCCGCTGGGTCGGGCCCCTCACTCCCTCGCCCCGCCACCGGGCAGCCGCCACTCTGTGCCCATCCTCGCCCCGGGAAGGGGCCAACGACACATCCTCCTGGATGCTTGAGAGCATCACATGGAAAACAGCATTTCCCCGACTTGAGACAGGGTTTCCATACCTGCACATCACCTGCTCTACCTTGCACTTGGGATGCGCCATCAAATCAATGTTAAACCACCTCATTTTGTGGGAAAATATACTTTGCTAAAGAACACAGAGCCTGGGAGGGGGACAGGGGGATGGGGTGACGGGCATGAAGGAGGGCACATGATGGGACGAGCACTGGTGCTATGTAAGCCCGATGAGTCACTGACCTCTACCTCTGAAGCCAATAATACATGATCTGCTAATTAATGGAGTTTAAATTTAAATATATATATTGGAAAAAAAAAACCACAGAGCCCACACGATAGGTTAATATATGCAGCCTCTCTTGTGCCTTTTAAATAACCCATTTATACAAACTCCCACTTTGGGACATCCAGGGGGCTCAGCAGTTGAGCATCTGCCTTTGGCCCAGGGTGTGACCCCCAGGGTCCTAGGATGGGGTCCCACATCGGGCTCCCCCGCAGGGGGCCTGCTTCTCCCTCTGCCTGTGTCTCTGCCTCTCTCTCTCTCTCTGGGTCTCTCATGAATAAATAAAATCTTTAAAAGAAATAAAAAAATAAAAAAATAAAAAAATAAAAAAAAAAAACCCCATCTCAAAAAAAACAAACAAAACTCAGTCTCCAAATCCTTCTATTCTTGGTCAGGGCAGGCCTCTCTTGAGCTAGATATATATTTTTTTTCCCATGGCCATTACAATAAATATTTACCTATTGAAATCCAACGTCCTCTGGGGGAGAAATGAGCAGGCCGTGGCAGCATGTTTTGGGAGACCCTGAGGTAAGAGGTGGGCAGCTTAAGGCCACACCCACTGCAGCAGGTGTGCAGGGGCTATGGGCAGGAGGACCTCTGCCTGGAGGACTCACTGGCTCCCCGCTGGAGGCCAAGGACCAGGTCCCCCACTGCTCCACTGGGAGAGGGGTGCAGAGGACAAGGCTAGGGCCTCACTGTGCCATGAGAAATTCACTCATCCTGGGAGTCCCGCCTTCAGGCCACCATCAGAGCACGTACCTCCTGCCAGTCGGTGAGCTCAGAATTTGGGACGTTCAAGCTCCGTGGGGCCTGGCCGAACCGGAACTCAGTAGCTGGGCGCTGGAGGGCACCTGGGGGGCTCAGTCGGCTCAGACGACTGCCTTTGGCTCAGCTTATGAACTCAGGGTCCTAGGGTCAACCCCACGTCGGGCTCCCTGCTCCATGGGGAGTCTCCTTGTCCCTCTCCCTCTGCTTGAGCTCTTTCTCTCTCTCTCTCAAATAAACAAACAACATCTTTTTTTAAAAAGTTTGGGGACTGGAGCTTTAACTCTTTAAAAACAGGTCAGTTGGGTATCCCTGGGTGGCTCAGCGGTTTGGCACCTGCCTTTGGCCTAGGGCGCGATCCTGGAGTCCCTGGATCAAGTCCCGCGTCGGGCTCCCTGCGTGGGGCCTGCTTCTCCCTCCTCCTGTGTCTCTGCCTCTCTCTCTGTGTGTGTCTATCATAAATAAATAAATAAATAAATAAATAAATAAATAAATAAATAAATAAATACATCTTTTTTTAAAAAAGCAGGTCAATTAAGTGGTAGAATGGGGGCACGCATATCGCAATTTCTTAATGGTGCCCTGCACCTTCAGCATAGAAAGTACGTCCACACCTTGTGCTTGGCACCTCACTGCCACCTCTGAAGTGGTCAGAGCCACTCCAGGACTGTTGACCCGGTTCACATAGGAAAAAGCTGGGGCTCAGAGAGGCTCAGGCCTGAGCCCCCAGGACAGCGTGCAGTGGTGAACAGCGTGGGTACTTTACTCCCTAGAACAGTACCCTGAAGTCTGGACGAGCAGCCAAATAAGCAGGGTTAGGGATCCCTCCCAAGACGTAGCAGATTTGAACTTGTTAAGAATTAACAGGCACCCCTCGAATTCCAAGTACATTGTATTTCAAGGTGGGGTCTAAAGACGCTTCACCCCGAAACAGGATTCGTAGGGTACATAGGCCCTCGGATTAGCCTGACGAGGGCCGGTTAACCCGCAGACCCCTGAACGCCCGCAGCGGGCTTTCAGAAAAATATTACCGGTGCCGGTAGTCAAAACAGGAAGGTGATCGAGTACTTTTTCTCTCCAATGCCTGCCTAAGATCTGAGGCCAGATAGAGGAATGCACATAATTTCCCCCTGCCGTCCTATTTTAGAATTAGAAGACAGAGGGTGGTGTGGGGGGCAGGGAGCAGGCTGGGGAAGCAGACAGTTGGGAAGCAAATAGGGAAGCTGCGAAAGGAAGCAGAAGGTCCCTGGAGCCAGCCAGCTCAGCGGGAGGTGGGTGGCGGGAGGGCTGGGGACCCTAGATCCTCTCCCATTCAGGAGGCTGCTTTCATCACAGAGATGACACGAGAGAGGACCTGCTAACTGCGGGGGGGGGGGGGGGGGCGGTCTGGGAGACTGAGAGGCCCCAGAACAAAGAGGGGAGAAGCAATCCTGACAGTGGGATTTTCTAGGGGAAGACAAACGGGTTTGCAATGGGCGTAATCAGAAATGGGTTTAACCCCCTGCTACTGTCTGCAGGCAGCCGGGGGGGGGGGGGGAACCCCTGCCTCGGCCCAGGGACCCCCTGCCTTGGCCCAGCTCTGCTGCCGGCCTCACCTGCTGCTGCACGAGGAGACGGTGGTAACTCGAACCTCCCTGCGGGGCAGCGGTGGGGAACGAATGACCCGGGCAGTGGGTGTCAGGCACGCAGGGGACACATACACACACCTTCCCCTGGCAGGAGGTGAGGCTGGCGCCCTCACCTCCTGACAGAGGCCTCGAGGCCACCGAGGCTGTGAAGGCAGCTGCTCTGTCACCCCCCCCTTGCACCCAGCCTTGAGGCCACAATTGAAGGGTCCAGGAGGCCTTTCATGATTCAAAATGGGGCTAAAGAGATGAGGGGTGTGATTCCTTTTTTTAAAATTTATTCATGAGGGACAGAGAGAGAGAGAGGCAGAGACCCAGGCAGAGGGAGAAGCAGGCTCCCTGCAGGGAGCCCGACGGGGAACTTGATCCAGGGACCCCAGAGTCACATCCTGGGCAGAAGGCAGATGCTCAACCCCTGAGCACCCCCGGGTGCACTGAACACATTATTTTTTTTAAAAATCATTAAATTACCTCCTGAATACACTGTAGTTATTCAGTATTTGCTGAATGAATGAAGTTTTAGTCCCACTATCCCAGGTCTGGCCTCAGTTTTTTGGTTAGCTTTGTTCAGCAGCTCTTCCCTAGATGCCAGCGCCAAGCCCTCGACTGGTTTCCCCTCTAGAAGCTCCTTTACCCAGACCCTCCCTCCGCCCCCCCACAGGAACCCTGGAGGCAAAGAGGGCCAATGAGGCTGCCCAGAGGTTTCCTCCCACTCTGCTCCCTCTTGCTCAAGGCCAGCTATGGGACACCTTCTGGATTCGGCTCGGGAACAGGCGGGGACACCCAGGCGCGTCTCCGGGGATCCAGGCCCTGGAACCCTGCTCAGCTAGCTGTTCCCTCAGGCTAACAAAGAGCTCCTCTCCCTCGATGGCTGACTTCATCTTGCCTTTCTCTCCTGTCCCCACTGTGCCGGGATATGGAGAGGCCCTGAGCCTCGGGTGGGACCCCAAGGGAACCATTCGACCAGAATAGTTCATTCATGAGAGACACAGAAAGAGAGGCAGAGACACAGGCAGAGGGAGCCCCATGTGGGACTCGATCCCAGGCCCCGGGATCACTCAGTCAGAAAAGTAAGGCCAGTTCAATGGGGAGAATCCTTTTACAGTGCATGCAGATCAGAAACTACCACGTTGTACACTGAATACCTTATAATCATATCTGTCACCTATATATACTCCAGGAAAACTGGAAAAAAGAAAAGAAACGAAGGCCAGAGCCGGGGCACGGGCAGGGTCAAGGCTATAGAGGGCAAGGGTGTGAGCTCTGCAAGAGGGGGCGCCGGACAGAGCCTGGTAGAGGCGAGTGGGAGGCAGAGCCGGAGGAGTCAGGAGGAGGCAGGTGTGTCCAATCCCCGAGGTCAAGGATAAAGGGAGCGTTTTCAGGGAAGAGGGCATGGCCAAGGGTGCCGACGCGGCGGAGGATGGAGGCAATTGCCTCCGCTTCCTGAGCTGGGTGGCCACGGTCCGCCCCTGGGACCACGTGCGGGGCCAGGCCCTCTGGCTGGATCCTGTACTGCGGAAACCTCCCGGTGGGGCTGGACGGGTGGACCCAGGAGGGTGCGGACCCACCACCCAACCCCAGGGACGAGTCCCTGAGACCCTACTGAGCAGAAACAGGGTGGGACGGAAACTAAACAAATTGTTCCTTTAAAGTCACCTGATATTTACGTCTCAGTCATGTTTGATTTTTGGCTTCTCTTTCCTGTGGCAGGATATTCAAAGAAAACAAATCTTTAGAAGCTTCAACTCCAAAGCAAAGAGGCCTCTGTGTGCCTACTTCTGGTCTCTGCTTTAGGAACAAACCTCCTTTGCTCTTTGGTCTGAATTGTGTCCAAGGCAGACAGAGCCTCCTGGCCAAGACGGGGTGCAGCCCGAGTGTCTGCTACAGCATCAGAGAGCCCGGCCGGACCAGCCTTGACACCTTGCCCGGGCTTCCACTCCAGGGGCCCAGACGGACCGACGGATGGTGGTGCCAGCTGGAAGCAGAGAGCACGGGGCCACATCCCTGCCCCAAACTGAAGTCCTGCCAGCTCACCCCCTAGGGACCAGATACTTGGTGGGGAAGACAGGGAGCTGAGAAGTCACCCAAGGAAGGCAACCCAGGCTTTGCCTGGGATTTGAAAACAGGTGGTCCATTCTTGGCTCTGGTCATTTCCAAATGACCCAAAAAGCTAGGGAAGGAGGCCCGAGGAGGGGAAATGGAGACAAATACTGGAGCCTAAGCAGGCCCTCCTCCTGCTCTCTTGACAGCAACCCCACAGCCACTGGGTTGTGGCCTATGCTAGGTGGGGACCATCCCCACAACGCCGCGAGGTGCCTCCGAGAGGCTAGAGGCTTTCCAGGGCCGCAGGACCCTAAGCAGCAGGGCCTGCTTTCCAACTCAGCCCCCCGATGCCCAGCCTGTGCCCTCTCCTTTGCATCGTCCCACTGCCCGGCCAGCAAGAGGGCAGGCAGGACAGCCTTTCGGGTCTTGTCAGTGGCTAAGGAACAGTCATCTAGTGAACACCGGGCAGGGGATTTTTGCAGAGCAGATGGCCAACGGTCCTGCCCAGGGATCAGGACCCTTGTTTGGTGACCTAATGTAGCCCCTGCAACGGGGGACAGATGAGGTTCAGGTAAAGGACCCTAATGTGTTGTTCAAAAAGCCCTGCCAGGGGCCCTATCTACCTCAGGGTTTGTCCCCACGCCAGGGACCCTCCTTCCTGGTCACTGCGTCATAAACTTCTAGGAGGTCAGGGCAAGAGTAGCCCAAGGAGCCTCCAGAAAATTCTGTACTTGTAGACAGGAAGACAGAGACCCGAGGCCCAGGGTCACGTCCACAGATGTAATAGCAGCACCTTCCTCGCAAGTCGTCTGAGGATTGAGACCCTGCAAGCCAAGCAACCCGCAGTCAGTCCTCCACTGTCCCTGGTGTCCTCATGATCTTGCCCACTGGAGCCACGGCCCTAGGGCTCTGGAAGGAAGGGTGCCTCCTGCTCTACAACACAGGCCTCTGACCCACCTGGCTGCGCAGGTGGGGTGACAGGAGGAGAGGGAGGGAAGAGGGAGGAGGGCTGGAACCTGGCCTCACCTGCCTCTACGTAGGAGGCGACCTGGGGGTGCCCTGCAGAGCCCCCCCCCCACCTGGTGCTTTGGGTTTCTTCTGGGAAATAAGCTGGCCGTTGAGGAGGGAGCCTTCGGGGCCGGGAGCCTCCAGCTGCACAGCAGGACTGCCCTGACCCGGCAGCTGAGAGCGCGGGCCTGGGGGGAGGAGGGGGCCCCACACGGCCGAGCCCCCCCACCCCAGGCCGCTCCGCCCCTGGCCGGGCCCAGAGCCTGCGGGTTCCCCACCCGCTGGGCTTCCAAGAATCACAGGCAAAGGTGTCACTTGACAGTTGGCAGACAGTTAGCTCTGTGTTCCTGGAAGCTGCAGTCCAGGAAGGGGGGCGGGGGGGTGAAGAGGGGGCAGGGCAGAGAGGGGCACGAGGGGAAAGGCAAGAAGCAGGAGCGAGGAGGGCTGAAGCCAGACTGAGACGCCCGCACCGTGCTCCGAGGCTGCCGGGAGAGGAGGCCAGGCCGGGCCGTGGCCCTGAGCAGCCCCACAGGGCGCAGGGGACTGAGTCCTCGGCCTCCTTCTCCTGGGCCACTGGTCACAAAATAGGAGCAACGTGGCGTCAACGGGAGACCCCGCAGCACGGGAGGCAGGGCCCGCGGGGGCCATCCTGCCGGTCCCTGGAGACGCACAGGCCTCCCCTCCTTTGGCCCAGACACACCAAGGCTGGCTGCTCCCCAGGGGGCACCGCGGACGCCCCTGCAGCCCGCCAGCGGGGAGCCCACAGCTGCCAGGCCGGCACATCGGGAAGGCCTGCCGAGGCCGCGTCCTATAGCCTCCCCCAGCCTCCCGCAGCCTCCTGCAGCCTCCCCCAGCCTCCTCCAGCCTCCCCCAGCCTCCACTGGGGAGGCCGTGGTCACTGCCTTGGATCAAGCACCTGCGGGGTGCTGAGCCGGCCCCACCCCTGCCCCCCGGGGCCGGTCCCCAGGACGCCCCCCCCCCCCGCTCCCCAGCAGGGCACCAGCCCAGTGGGAGCCACAGCAGCAGCATCCTCGTCCGAGGTCGCGGGGCTCAGCTGCCCAGGCCAGGGGCCGGTAGGAGGCCGCGTAGCCCGACATGACGTTGCAGCACTGACGCCACCGCTCAGGCAGCCTCGGGGGCTACCCCAGCCAGTGGGACGGTCTGTGAGACCCAGACGCGGCCTGGGGGGCCCTGGGTGGTGGACACCCTACGGCTTGCCCACCCGGTGGGCGCCCACCCAGCCCTGGGCCCCCGTGTCACAGGGCGGCCACCACCCCAGGAGGCAGTCTGCTCCCCCATCTCCAGGCAGCGGGGCACCTGCGGGGAGCTTGGGGTCGGGGCACAGGCCCGGACTGGGCACTCCTACTGGGGCCCTGCACACCGTCACCCCACGCTCCGGGCTGGGGCTCCAGGGGAGCATCCCTGGGTGCCAGGCTGCGCACCTGGGACCCAGCAGGCCCGGCCCGCCCCCACACGGAGGAGCCTCCGGCGCCCAGCACCTGCCTCAGAGGCAGGGCCCCGGGCGGGGCACCAGGCATCGTTATCACCCCCGGCGCAGGGCTGTGGGCAGGGCTAAGCCGGGCCCTCTTATCACTCCCCAGGCCCTGCACCGCAGTGCACTGCTGGCCCTGAGGATGGGGGGCTGCAAGGCGGGGCCCAGGTGGCTGCCCAGTTCCTTGCTCTTCTGGAACGGTCCCCGGAGCAGGAACGCGCCAGGCAGTCTGGCAAACAGAGGGAGCACGGCCCGGCTTGGACACCATGTCATTCTAGGCAAGCCCTTCCTTCCAGGGTCCCTGCCTGTGAAACTGGGGGGGAGGGGCTGAGGAGGGTCACCCCGGAGCCCCGTGTGTCTCTAAAGAGTTAGGGTCCTGCGACCAACCACCAGGGAGGAGGCCATGCAGAGGGAAGACACTCCGTCCCATAGCAGACCAGCTGGTAGCAGAGTGGCCCCCAGCCCAGTGTGCTTCCCGGCCCAACACCCTGACCTTCTAGAAGGCCTGTGGAGGAAAGGTTTGCAGAGGAAGGGATGGCTGCTTCCGGGCTCCCCATCCCAGATCCAATCCACACCACCAGGCTCCAGGTGTGGACTGGGAACATCTCAGAGGGGCTCATGGGGACTTGGCACCCTACCGGGTGGGCGCTCACTCCTTGGCTCCTGTCCAGGGACGGCAGGGCTTCCTGGGTGTGTGGAGAGCTGGCCCCAGAATTGGGCCCAGATAATAGCCCTGCTCTTATCAGTGGGCCAAGGGCTCCAAGGGGGGTGTGTCTGAGAATCAAGGGCAGGTTCAGCAGAAGAGGGTAGGGGGTGCAGACCAGCTGAGACCTCCAGCCTGGAAGGAAGGACTCCCTGAGGGCACATCCAAGGCTTCAGGAACTGGCGTAGTGGGAGTCAAAGGAAGGGGCAACCTAGGTCCCTTGAGGAGCAGGGAAGCCTGATCCAAGGCACCTTCCTAAAGAAATCCTAGGCATCTCAGGTTGGGGGGTTGAGACAGACCCAGAAGCTATGTCCCAGAGCAGAAGGGGTTATGGCCACCTTTGAGAACCTGAGAAAAGTTATGATTCTGTCCTTGCCCAGTGGGGAAACCAGGGCCCAGGCTTTCTGGAAGATGATTCACACTTGGCTTAAGCCTTGGAAGACCCTGGGGCGCCTGGGTTGGCTCAGTCAGTTAAGCAGCCGACTCTCAGTTTCAGCAGAGGTTATGATCTCAGGGTTTTGGGATCAAGCCTCACGTCAGGCCTTATGCTCAGTACGGAGTCGGCTAAAGCGTCTTTCTTCCTCTCCCTCTGCCCCTCCTCCCCGCCCCCCATCTGGCCCAGCTCACGCCTGCCCTCTCTCTGAAATAAATAATCCTAAGGAAAAAAAAAGACTTGGAAGGCCCTGCTAGACAGGGGCCGAGTCCCCTGTGCGGCTAGAGGTGCGGACCCCGTTGGCAGCGTCTGACGACCGGTCACAGGGCTCTGAAACCTGGTAGAGCAGCAGGGAGAAGGCAGGAGGGCCAAGCAGGACCAGGCCAAGGGTCTGGGGCTCCAGGCCGGCACCCCCTGGGTACCCAGCCAGCTGCCTCAGCCTAGGTTCCTGGTTTCTCTTCCCCTCTGGCCCAGGCTCAGACCAGCCCAAGGATGCCCATCTGGGAGGGAGCCTGGGCCTGTCCTCACTGCTGGGCTGCCTGAGCTGAGCTGCATCCTCTGAAACCCCCCAGCCAGGTGACAAACACAGACGTGTGTGCCATCCTGGGGTCGGGGGCTCAGGAGGCCTCGCGCCCTCTTCTCCGCCTGCAACCGGGGACGGCAGGCTCTCCAGACACACAGGACGGCTTCCTTATGTAGCGTGGGCCCAAGCGTTTTAAGCAGGCGGCGGGAGCTGCTTAGGACAAGGCCGAAAGCCAGGCTCCTTTCCGTAGGCCGGGGAGTAGCCTGCACCCCTTCCGGAGCCCAAGAACCCGAGTTCAGCGGGGAGGAGAGCGGAGGAGAGGCTTGAACGTGGAGGGGCCTGGGCACGGAGAGGCCCTGAGACCAGGGCAAAGAGGACAGGCAAGACCTGGAGGCCCTGGGCTTGGGTGGGGAGCCCAGACAGCCAGAGCCATGGAAAAGTGGGGGCTGGAGAGGAAGGGCTGAGGCCGCCAGGAACATTCCAGGTGGGAGCAAGAAGGAAGAGCGGCCTGGAGGGGCCCTGCACATGGAACACCGACGTCTCCGTCACCAGTCACCCACCTCTCCAGGCTGGGCTGACGCCGCCGGAGGGTGGGCTCCTGCCCCTCACCCCCATCCCAAGCACGAGCACGTGCACGTAGGCACACGCGCCACAGGACATGATCCCTCGGCGACATCCCTTCCTCTCACCGTCACCACACCCTGATTCCACCCGGACACCAGGATGGCAGGAAGCAGTGTGGCTGCTCTGAAACTTCAGGGTGGCAGCATCACAGGGGGCCCTTGATAAGACTTCAGATTCGGATTCCTGCCCCCCCCACCTCCGTCCCCGAGATTCGGGTCAGCATTCCAGGGACCCTGTGATCCCGGGGGCGGAGGCCCTCGGGAGAGCACGGGCTCTGTTAGCTGCTTGGCGGAGGAAGGGCCACAGCCACAGCGCTGCGTTCCCTGTGTGCCCACCGCACCCCTGCCGCTTGGCGCGCCCCCTGCTTTGTCCTCTGATGGCCTTTCAGGAAGTGCCACCATTTCTATCCCTAAAGTCACACACTGGCCTCCAGAGAGAAGCCTCAGTTTGAGGCGGTTCCCGCCCCTGAGCCCGCTTCCGACCCCGGGGGCTTGGGACCCGTGCCAGCGACAGGACCTGGACCAGCAGGTGACCCCCCGGGCAGGAGGCAGCCGTCAGGATGGCACCACTGGCAAGAAGGGCTGCAGAACTGTCCCACGATGGAGACCCCCCCAGGGATGAGGAGCCAGGGGCCCCCCCAGGGATGAGGAGCCAGGGGCCCCCCCAGGGGTGAGGAGCCAGGGGGCCCCCCAGGGATGAGGAGCCAGGGGGTCCCCCAGGGATGAGGAGCCAGGGGGCCCCCCAGGGATGAGGAGCGAGGGGGCCCCCCCAGTGGTGAGGAGCCAGAGGGTCCCCCCCAGGGAAGAGGAGCCAGGGGGCCCCCCAGGGGTGAGGAGGCAGAGGGTCCCCCCAGGGGTGAGGAGCCAGAGGGTCCCCCCAGGGAAGAGGAGCCAGGGGGCCCGCCAGGGATGGGCCAGGGGGCCCCCCCAGAGATGAGCCAGGGGGCCCCCAGGGGTGAGGAGCCAGGGGGCCCCCCAGGGATGAGGAGCGAGGGGGCCCCCCCAGTGGTGAGGAGCCAGAGGGTCCCCCCCAGGGAAGAGGAGCCAGGGGGCCCCCCAAGGATGAGCCAGGGGGCCCCCCCAGAGATGAGGAGCCAGGGGGCCCCCCAGGGGTGAGGAGCCAGAGGGTCCCCCCAGGGGTGAGGAGCCAGGGGGCCCGCCAGGGATGAGCCAGGGGGCCCGCCAGAGATGAGCCAGGGGGCCCCCAGGGGTGAGGAGGCAGAGGGTCCCCCCGGGGATGAGGAGCCAGAGGGTCCCCCCAGGGGTGAGGAGCCAGGGGGCCCTCCAGGGATGAGGCACCCAGAGGGCCCGCTCCCAGCCTGAGCCCCCCACCCCGAGGGCCCCCTGCGACGAGGCAGGCGGGGCGGAGAGTTCCCGGCGGCGGGCGCCCCCTGCAGGCGGACGGGGGTGCGGCGGGGCACAGCGGGAGCAGCGGCCTCCTCCCGCCGCGGCCCTCCGGACGACCCTCGCCCCGCCCCGCCCCCCCCCCCCCCGCTCCCCCGCAGCCCGGGCCCCCCAGGCCGCCCCCACGGCGAGGGGCTGGCGCCCAGCCGCCCACAGAGGCCCGGGGGTGCGGCGAGGGGCGGCACTGCCCTGCCCCGGGCACCCCTAAGGGCCCCTCCACCCGCCCTCCGTGGGGCCCGGAGCCGAGGCTGCCTCCAGGTCAAGGAACCCCGGGCGCTGGGGGCGCGGCCCAGCCTCAGCAGCCCCACAGCAGCGGGCCGGGCCTTACAGAGAGTGGGGGCCGCAAGTGCTGGGGCGCCTCTTCCTTCCTGTCCCCGGGCCCCTGGGCATCCTGGAGGCCTGTGACTTAACGTCCAGCACCGCTCAGGTGGAGCATCCCCCTCCCTCAAGGTCTGAGCGCCCCCCCCCCAGCCTCAGGGCCAGCCCAGCTCGGGGCGAGGGGGCCCCCCAACACCTGTACAGCCTGCAGGCGCCCCCACACACGCTCCTCACCTCCTGGAGGGCTGCAGCCTCACCACTCCCTGGGGGACCCGTCCCAGGCTTGCAGAGACCCGGAGGTTGGGCCTGGGGGCCAGGCCCGGGCCCTGGGAGGGCTGGGGGAGGGAGCGCCGAGGAGCACAGTGGCCCGTGCAGGTTCTGCTTGGGCACCCAGTCAGACCCCACCATCCTCTGCAGCCAGACAGCTTCGGCCATGTACCTGGGGAGCAACAAGCCAGATGAGAGGGGTCATGGCCCCCCGGCCTGGACCCCCTCAGCTTGGGGAGCACAGAGCCCAAGGCGTGGCCCTGCGGAGAGCTGGGACCATCTTATCCAGGCTACAGTGTCCCTCTACCCCACAACCTGGGGCAGGAACCCACAAGGGCAAGGAAGTGGGGGTCCCAGAGGCTCTCACATTGCCCTGCAGAAAACCCTGAAAGAAGAAGGGCGTATAAGGGCCAGGGGAGATGCCCCGGCTTCATCCCGCCCCCCAGCCCCAGGGGCCACCCCTCGGGCCTCTGGTCAGCCAACTCACTTGGGTCCCAGTGGTGCACAAATCGTTAAATACCAGTTGTTGGCACAGCCGCGATCGAAGGGGTTGTATCCCTGCAGGTATTGGCCCTAGAGGGGGGCAAGGGCCGGAAGGAACTCAGATCCAGCAGGACTGGGCAGCACCCCCCTTACCACCCCCCACCCCCCGGGCTGCAGCTCCAAGGGCAGAGAAGCAGGGACAGTGAGCTAAGGTCTCCATCAACCCACCTCTGAGTAGCTCTCTGTAGGCACCCACTTCTGCCTTCTCAGGGCCCCTGCCCCGTCACCTGTACCCCCTTTTGCAGTATCCCCCCTTTTCTGTTTCCTTTGGCCACACCACATCCTCCTGCGCTATACCTGCTTCCAGATGTACTTTCAGATCTTTCTTTTGTCACTAAACTGCTCCAAAGACAGTTGCACCCCTACCGCAACTTCCCTACTTGCCCACCTCTCTCTCTTTTGTTTTTTAAAGATGTCATTTACTGGGGCGCCTGGGTGGCTCAGTCGGTTAAGTGCCTGCCTTCAGCTTGGGTCATGATCCCAGGGTCCTAGGATGGAGCCCCACATGGGGCTCCCTGCTCAGTGGGGAGTCTGCTTCTCCCTCTCCCTCTGCCCCTCCCCACTGCTCAGGAGTGAGAGCGGGGTGCCCGAGAGCACATTCAGGGGAGGCTGCAGGCAGAGGCAGGGGGGAGGAGGGCGCCCCATGTGGGGCTCTGTCCCAGGACCCTGACATCATGACCTGAGCCAACTGAGCGACCCAGGTGCTGCCCCCCCACCTCTCATTTTTTCCAAACTTGTGTCTTCACTGAATTTCACTATCTAGAAGGGCAGTTGCGTGGGGCCCCCAGTCATACTTCCCTAACAAAATAACTTGGCCCTGGAAATCTGGACTGAAGTTCCTGAGCACAAATGCAGTGAAGGGCAAGGCCAAGGTCAAGTCCTCTCCTGGACATTCTTTTTTTTTTTTTTTTTTTTAGATTTTGTTTATTTATTCATGAGAGACACACAGAGAGAGAGAGAGAGAGAGAGACATAGGCAGAGGGAGAGGCAGGCTCCACGCAGGGAGCTCAATCCTGGGACCCCGGGATCACGACCTGAGCCCAAGGCAGATGCTCAACCACTGGGCCACCCAGGTGCCCCTATCTCCTGGACACTCCTAACCAAGTTCTCCCCCCACCCACCCAACAGCCTCGCCCTCTTCCTCCTCCCCAGCACCAGCTGATTCTCTCCCTCACTTCAAGAGCCTCAGCAACAAAATGTCTGTCACAGCCCACCCCCAGCTCCCTCGTGTCCCATGCCCCTGTCACCAAGATTTTGACCTTCACCACTATTCTCCATGAAAACCAGTCAGGACCTCATGGAGAGAACATGACACCTACGGGAGGAAAAGTCAAGATGCCTCCACAGTGTTCCACTGCTGCCAAAAGGCAGCACTAACCATTGAGATACTTTGAGTCCTGCCCACTTTAATATGTTTAAAGCATTTAAGGGAACCTGATATTCTATTTGCAATTTTAATTAAATTGTTAGAAGAGTTTGATTACATTTGCCATTAGAATTGTAAATTTAGAGAAAACTTTGACTTATTAGATGTACATGAAGTTTACAGAGGCATTGACTGTTCAACGCTTAAAGGCATGACAGTTGCCTAATGAACTCATTAGAACTCACTGAGAAGGGCAGCACTTTCCCCTCCCCACAGGAGAGCCTCTCAGATGTGAACAGAATCCAGCAGTTCAGAAGTCCCCTGACTGTCCTCTCTCACTGGCTCCAGACCCAGTTGTCCTGCTCGCGTCCCACAGGACAGTAACCAAGGTGGGCGCCTTCTCGCCCCATGCCCTGCGCCTCCCGGCTGCCTCTGCTCTCCGCCTGTCTTTCCCAGGATCAGGGCCTCAGGCTTTCCTCTCTTTCTCTCTCCCTCACTCTTGCTCTCCCAAAGCAGTTACCAGTTTCTTTGTGTATAGATTCACCCATTTGCTCATAAATATTCTGGGACCTCAACAGTGTCCGAGGCATTGCACTGGGGATGAGGACACACCATCAGCGGGGGAGTGATCAGGGCAGCACGGAGAGGGGATGAGGGAGAGGAGCAGGGAGCCGGTGCCAAGACTCTAAGGTGCAGGCAGAGGAGCAGCAGCCCTGGAGAGTAGAGAGCTGGGCCCTAGGGGGCTGGGGAAGGGCCCCGGCAGGTGCATGCAGCACCACGCTGCTGTGTGCAGCCTGGAGAGATTAGTGTTAGAGGCTGGGGAGCACTTGGAGAGCAGGGCCTCAGTGTGCCCCTGAGCAGAGGAGGCGCCGCATGGGCTGGAGAAGGTGACGAATGATGCCGGTGAGCACAGCCGACTCGTTCAAGAAATATGGCTCTGGGGGCACCTGGGTGGCTCAGCGGTTGATTATCCGCCTTCAGCTCAGGGCATGATCCCAGGATCCTGGGATCGAATCCCCCATCAGGCTCCCTGCGTGGAGCCTGCTTCCCCCTCTGCCTGTGTCTCTGCCTCTCTGTGTCTCATGAATCAATGAATAAATAGAATCTTAAAAAAAAAAAAGAAAGAAAGAAAGAAAGAAAGAAAGAGAAAGAAAGAAAGAAGAAAGAAAGAAAGAAAGAAATATGGCTCTGCTGGAGGGGAGGGTGCAACAGCTGGAAGGGAGGCTTGTGATGGAAAGGAGAGTTTGCTTTGTATTTAAGATGGAGAGACATGAATGCCTGTAGGTGATGACCGGAAGGAAGGTAAGGACAGCAGCGATACGAGGGCATTCGCTGTACCGGCCACTGTTGTGTGTCTTACGCTTATCGACCCACGCTGCTGCCTTTTACAAGTGGGACGACTGAAGCACCAGGCGGCTAAGTAACAGACCCAAGATCTCCCTGCTGCTGGGAAGTTCTGGTTTGAATTTCTGTAGCCTGACTCCAGAGCCCTTGCTATCAACCACCAAGCAAGCGGCCCCAGGATATGTGGCTCGAGGATGGAGGTAGGAAGGGAATGAATGCCTGAAACGGGTTCTGTGGGTAACAGGAAAGAGCCCTGAATGAATGAATCCCATTCATTACAGAATACAGTGATTCACAGAGTGCAGACCACATTTAGATTTCTTAAGACTGGAGATCCTGGGGCAGCCCCAGTGGCTCAGTGGTTTAGCGCCACCTTCAGCCCAGGGCGTGATCCTGGAGACTCGGGATCGAGTCCCGCATCGGGCTCCCTGCATGGAGCCTGCTTCTCCCTCTGCCTGTGTCTCTCCCTCTCTCTCTCTGTGTCTCTCATGAATAAATAAAATCTTAAAAAAAAAAAAAAAAAGACTGGAGACCACAGACTGGGAAAGCCCCATTCTGAGCAGTGGAGACAGGGCAGGCCAATGGTGTGACCAGGGACTAGAAGGCCCTTGGGACGTGAGAAGGGAGAGTGCTGCCCCAGAGAGGCTGAAAAGATGGGCTGGGGCTGGAGAGAGAAGGCTGCACAGAAGGTAATGTGTAGGGCTAATGGGTTAGAGCAGAGTCACAGGTGGGCTGGGAGCCAACAGGGGAAGGTTGGAGTGATTGGGTGCTGGCTGTAGGGATGGGAGGTGGTAGGCAACACCGGTGCCTCTGTCCTTTCAGCCCTCACCGTCTTCAGCCCCCCTCCCCCATCAACGCAACTAACTACACTCTTCCTAAAACAACCTTTAGTTGGGGCACCTGGCTGGCTCAGTCAGATCATGAATCACACGACTCATGATCTCAGGGCTCAAGCCCCACGTTGGGTGTGGAGCCTACTTAAAACAACAACCACCGTTAGTCAAGTCATTGTCCTGCTAAAGGAATCCTATGGCAAGGATGTTCACTTTTATTACTCCCACTCAACACCGTACTGGAGATCCAAGACAGTGCAGTAAGAAGAGAAAAAGAAAGAAATCCATTCATGTTAGAAAGAAAAAAATAAAACTGTCCTTATTCATAGGTGACATGATTTTCTATGTGAATCAACAAAAAAGCTATTAGAATAAGTGAGTCCAGCAAAACTGCAAGATTCAAGACCAATAAACAAAAATCTATTGTATCTTTTACAATAATGAACAAATACACATGAAATTTAAAGACATTTATAATAGCACAAAAACAAAATACTTAGAAAAGATCTAACACAATGTACGCAAGATCTATATACTGAAAACCACAAAACGCTGATGAAAGAAATCAAAGAAGCAAATAAGTGGAAAGGGGTTCATGGGTTCAAACACTCAATATTGTTAAGATATCAATTTTCCTAATTGGCCTATAGGTTCAACGTAATCCAAATAAAAATCTCAGCAAATTTTTTTGTGGAAATTAAGCTGTTTCTAAAAGGTAAAAAGAAAATCAAAGGACCTAGGATAACCAAAAGAACTCTGAAAAAGAAGAACAAATTTGGAGAACTCGCACTGTGTGATTTCAAGACTTGATACAAACCTACTGATCAAGACAGTGAGGTATTGGCAAAAGAGTAGGGAATCCAGAAATACACCCACAACTATTTAGTCAACTGATTTTTGACAAATGTGCAAAGGTAAATGGAAGAAGGATAATCTTTACAGCAAATGATGCTGGAGTTATGCAAAAGTAATAAATCTTGACCAATACCTTGCATCCCATACAAAATTTAGCCCAAAATGAATCATAGGCCTCAATATAAAATCTAAAACTATAAAATTTCCAGAAGAAAATATGAGAAAATCTTTGTGACCTCGGGTTAGGCAAAGCTTTCTTAATTACAACACCAAAAACGCAGAAAAAAACCAACAGTGCCCTTCATCAAAATTTAAAACTCCTGATCTTTGGAAGACACCATTAAAAAAAAATTGTGATGACAAGCCATACACTGGGAGAAAATATTTGCAAAACACGTTTCTGAATCCAGAGTAGGCCTCGTAGAACTCAATAGTTTTAAAAATCCCAACTTTTTTTTAATGGGTAAAAGATTGGAACATTTAGTCAAAGATGTGTAGATGGCGAATAAGAAAGTGAAAGGATGCTCACAAGATCACTCCTTGTTAGGAAAAGGCCAATTAAAAAAATCACCGTGAGATATCACTTCACATTTACCAGGCTGGCTAAAATTAAAAAAAAAAAAACAGAAAATCTTGACTATACCAAATGTGAGTGACACTGCCTCTAGGAACAGGAACCCAGCACCATGGGAACGCACCCACTTTGGAAGACACTATGGTGGTCTCATGAGGTTTAACATACAGTCACCTTAGGACTCGGCAATGCCACTCCTAAGTATTCACCTAAAGAGAAATGACAACCTGCGTTCACGTGCCTATCCACCAACGTTTACAGCGGCTTTATTTATAATCCCCCAAACTGGAAACCACCACACAGCCCTTAGCCCGGAAGTGGATCAACAAGACACTAGCCACAGGGATGGGGACGGGCAGCGACTCGGATGGGCGGCAGATGCTGAGCCGGAGAAGCCAGACTCAACAGGCTATGGCTGCGTTCACGGGAGTCTCGGGAGAAGGAAAAACTAAAGGGAGAGAAAACAGATCAAGTGGTTGCCAGGGGCTGCGAGCAGGGAGAGAAATTGAGGACAAAAGGCCCTGAGGGAGGGACTCCTGGGTGGCTCAGCGGTTGCGCTTCTGCCTTTGGCTCAGGTCACGACCCTGGGGTCCCGGGATCGAGTCCCACGTCGGGCTCCCTGCATGAAGCCTGCTCCTCCCTCTGCCTGTGTCTCTGCCTCTCTCTCTCTCTGTCTCTCATGAGTAAATAAAATCGTTTAAAAAAAAAGGGGGGGGGGCCTGCGGCAGTATTTTTTGGGGTGGGTGGAATTGTTGTAAACCTTGACCCTAGTGGTAACTACAGAGCAGGGCTGTGCGTTGGTCAAAGCTCATAGAGCTGCACTGAAACAGGGTGAATTTTACTGCATGTAGAAAAAGAAAAGAAAAGGAAAAAAAAAAAAAGTCCGGTCGTGGCTCCCAAGCTTCCCCTGAACCAAGACTCTGTTCTCCGCCTGACTTTCCAGGCGTTTCAGCTCTGGCCAGTCCCGGGCCGCCGCTCGACGTCCCAGGCCCGTCTGAGCTCCCGTGAGCACCGTGTCCCGCCCCGCAGCCCCCAGCCCTGGGGACTCGCAGGCGCCGCCCCTCGCCCACCCGCGCTGCTCCCTGAGCTCCGCCCAGCACACGCCCTTCCCGGGGCCCAGCCGCGTCGGCAGGGGCTCTTCTCCTTCTTTTTTTTAAAGATTCTATTTATTTACTCATGAGACAGAGAGAGGCAGAGACCCAGGCCGAGGGAGCAGCTGGCTCCACGCAGGGAGCCCGACGCGGGACTCGATCCCGGACCCCGGGGTCACGCCCTGGGCCGCAGGCCGGTGCTCAGCCGCTGAGCCCCGGACGCCCCGGGCAGGTGCTCCTCCGGTCGCACGGTCGGCGCGGACCGACACCTCCGCGCCCAGAACCAGGCCCCGCGGGGGGCGCACCTGCTCGAGCTCCGGGGCAGGCGGGACCCGGGGCAGGAGGGACCCGAGACGCGTCTGGGTGCAGCAGCGCCCCCGAGGGGGTCAGGCCGCCGGGGCCCCGGGGAGGGCCGGCGGGGGCGGGGGCGGGCGCCGCGTACCTTGCCCTCATAGGAGCGCTCGGCCGCGCTCACCGACGCCGCCTGGATCAGCAGCAGCAGGGACAGCGGCACCAGGAAGCCGGTGGCCGGCACCGCCACCACGAGGCTGCGCCAGCTAAGGAGCAGCGCCGCCCGCGTCCTGGCCCCGCCCCGCGGCCCCGCCCTCCGCAGTCCCCACCTGCAGCCCGCCCCCCTGCAGTCCACCCACCTGCAGTCCCTCCCGCCCACCTACAGTCCCCCCACCTGCAGTCCCCCTCACCTGCAGTCCCCCTCACCTGCAGTCCCCCTCACCTGCAGTCCCTCCCCTCACCTGCAGTCCCCCCCACCTGCAGTCCCCCTCACCTGCAGTCCCTCCCCCCTGCAGTTCCCCCTCACCTACAGTCCCCCCACCTGCAGTCCCCCCACCTGCAGTCCCCCTCACCTGCAGTCCCTCCCACCTGCAGTCTCCCCCACCTACAGTCCCCCCACCTGCAGTCCCCCTCACCTGCAGTCCCTCTCACCTGCAGTCCCCCCTCACCTGCAGTCCCACCCACCTGCAGTCCCCTTCACCTGCAGTCCCTCCCATCTGCAGTCCCCCCTCACCTGCAGTCCCACCCACCTGCAGTCCCCCTCACCTGCAGTCCCTCCCTCCACCTGCAGTCCCCCCATCTGCAGTCCCCCTCATCTGCAGTTCCCCCCACCTGCAGTCCCTCCCCCCCACCTGCAGTCCCCCCACCTGCAGTCCCTCCCCCCCACCTGCAGTCCCCCCATCTGTAGTCCCCCCACCTGCAGTCAGTGCCTCCCCACCACCTGCAGTCTCCCCCCCATAGTCCCACCCTCCCCACCCCCCCACCCCCACGGCCACCAGGGCCTCTGCCCCTGACTGCGCCCCCAGCCGCCCCCTGCGAGGCTCCCCGGAGGATACGCCATGGCTTTGTCCAGGGAGAAAGGCAGGTGGGTCGTGCGCCCCAGGAAGATGAGGCAGGTCACCAGCATGGCACCCGAGTAGAGGCATAAGGACAGGACCAGCAGCAGGAAGAAGCGGAAGTTGCGGTGACCAATGCAGTTATTAACCCACTTGCAGTGGTGGTCAAAGTCCTGGGTAAGAGGGAGGGAGCAGGAGTGGAGGGCACCCCCACATCTGAGACCCTACCCTCTCCCTCACCCCTGTTCCCAAAGGCCACCTGGCCTTGGCCCCCAAACTGGCTCCCATCCCTAGGGAGAAACCCAGCCACAGGGTCCCTAAGGCCAGCACTTCTATTACAGCGCTGCCGTCTCTGGGGCCCACGAGGGCACGCGGCAAGCGGCCTCTGGACGCAGAGCCTGCCTGGTCTTCTGGGAGACACATCCCGGTGTGACTGGGCTGGACATAGAACATCTCTGGGTTCTGTTTCCTCATCCATTGAATGAGGGTAACAGTACCCTTCCCAGCCGGCCTCTGTTTGTAGGGACCGGAGAAGACGGCACATCTGCAAACCTCTGCGGGCTGTGACACGAGACAGACAAGCCCTCAGAGCCCAGGAGAGCCTCTGGCCTGGACACGACAAGAAGCCAGGCGAAGCTTTCCTGGCCCGGCCTCCAGCCAGCCCGAGGCCCTTGGGCAGCCAGTGCCAGCAAGCCTGGGGTACGACGGGAGTGGACTTCTGAGCCCCCTGGACTGAGCAGGCCCCGCAGAGTGTCATGCGTCCGTGAGTGTCAGCATGTGCACAGGCAGGGGCTCACCTCCCTGGACAGGTGCAGGTGCCCAGGTAGTGGCCTGCACGAGTGACCAAGAGTTACGGGCCCCCTTGGCCTCTAGCCGTCCTGGGAGTGGTTCCACACTTGCTGTGGGCCCCAGGGTGAGCATGAAGAGGGCACTCACTTCCACACAGATGTTGCACCAGGGACAGTGGTAGGTCCGGGGCGGGCAGTGGAAGCGGCACTTCTGGCACCATTGCAGGCGGAAGGCTCTGTGGTTCACCCACACCACGTGCACCATCGTAGGGCCCTGTTCATTGGAGCCTGGGAGGGAGGAGGACGGCGGCAGCAGGAGTGTGCTGCTGGGGTAGGGAGGCCGGCTCCAGCTGGGGGCGGGGGTGAGGGGGGAGCTGGGCGGGGTGTCCCGGTCCCCACTGAGCAAGCTGCCCAAGCGCAGAGGGCACCAAAGGGACGGTAGGTCTCCAGCCCGGAGAGTTCTGTGAGGACTCAGCCCCCAGAAACTGAGTCGGTGAGGTGGGGAGAAGGAAGGGGGAAGTGAGGGCCTCGGGGAGCCAGCTTCCCGCCCCAGCTGCCGCGAAGCCCCAGGAGAACCTCCCGAATTCTGTTTTGCCGCGTGTCCCTGGCTCCCAGCGGGAAGTGCCAGAGGCAGGGCCCGGGCATATGGGCATATGAGGGTGCGCGGGGAAGGGTGCTGAGGCCTGAGGGATGGCCACCCCCTCGCAGGCCCAGCGCCTCACCTTGGTGCAGGATGCCGGGGTCTGAGAAATTGAGTGAAACCAGACTGAAGACCGTGAGGACGCAGAGGAGGCCCGAGACGAGGGGAAAGGCCCACTCCCCGTTCTGGGCCAGCCACCTGCACCTGAGACCAGCGCGGCGCTCAGCCCTGACCCAGAGGGCCTGAAGCCCCCCAACCCCGACCCCGTCACTGGGTCAGAACCCACACACGCCGGAGCCCGCTCCAAGTACCCAGGCTGGTGACAGACCCCCCCGGACACCCCACCGATCGTCACCGGGTGCGCAAGCACGGCCCCCAGGCCTCTGCACCTGCGTTCCCCGGCCTGGAGCACCCCCTCCCCTCACCCCGTCCCGCACTTCCCCTGCCTCCCTGCTCCCATTTTCTGCCTCGGTAGGGACCCCGCGGCCTGTGGGGGAGGGAGGCTCACGGGAAGGCGAAGAAGAGGCCACTGAAAATGAGCAGCAGCGCAACGTTGAAGGCGGCAAACAGGCTTGGGAGGATCCAGGGAAGCGGGGCCCCAGGCGGCAGATGGGGCGCCTTCAGGAGCGGCATGGCCCGACCGCCCTCGCCCCCAGGGGAGACCAGGGCCACCAGGCTCCCTCAACCCCGCTGGCTCTAGGAACCCCATGGCCACAGCAGCCTCGGAAGCCTAGGGTGGAAGGGAAGTTCCAGTGTGACATCACAGAGGCCAAGGAGAAGGGAGGCCAGGGCCCCCCCCGGCAGAACGCCTGCAAGTGCAGAGGGCCGCTTCCAAGAGCAACCCCCCCCCCACCGTCACCACTGCACCCCCTCACTTGTGCCACGGAGTGAGAGCTCCCCCCTGTGGGTTGGCTTTGAGACGCCTGAGATCAGAGGGACACACGGGGAGCAGGTGGGTGACTGTACTCATCCTCCCAGGCGTGGTGCCAGCCAGAGCGACAGTGGTTGCTGTCCACCCTCTCTCCGTTTTCTTCCTTTTTGTCATTACACCATGGAGGGGCAGCTAAATAATTCTCCAGGTTCCTTCGTTTCCAGGGTTGGCATCATGACACAATTCTGGGCAATGAGACATAATTAGAGGTCTGCTGAGGATTTTTAAAAAAGCTTTGCCTTGTCCCTTTCTTCTGGTCTTGAACCCACATGTGCCGGCTGGCGGTACCATCTTGAACCCATTAGGCAACGGCAACGGCAACACGGTGCACAGAATGGCATGGATGACATCGTTGAGTCCCTGGCCCAGACTTAAACTGGCTCTCTCTGGGCTACTTATTATATGAGAGGATAACTGGGTTTTCTGTTACATGCAGCCGACATTTGTCATTTGTTTTAGCTACTGAGCATCTGGACCCCTCTGCGCTTGGAGGATTCCCTGCACTGTACGTCTTCATGAAGGGCAAAGACCATTCCCCATATCAATTGGAGCCCAAACTGCCAGATACTCACATTCAAAGCCTCTCCTGCAGCTGGGGAATAGCCCTGTGACCCAGCGCCACCAATTAGCCTCAGAACTGCCACCACCAACCAAGTTGGAAATCTTCAGAGATCCAGCAAGCACACATATTTTCAGAGCTCTGTGTGTTGAAGTGTAATGGCCTTTTTGAAGGTCACTTTAATTTCAACAGTGATTGTGCTATTCTTCAACATGGGTAAGAGATGCAATGCCGGGGGTGCCTGGGTGGCATGGTCCGTTGAGTATCTGGCTCTCGGTTCCTGCATCAGGCTCCCTGGGGAGTATGAAGTGTGCTTGGGATTCTCACTCTCTCCCTCTGCCTCTCCTGTTCATGCTCTCTCTCTCTCTCTCTCTCTCTCTCTCTCTCTCTGTCTCCAAAATAAGCAAATATATCTTTAAAAAAATATGCAATTCTAAGAGATCTACTTTGGACTAAGTAGGAATTGGACTAAATGAACTGGAACATTTTGGGGAAATTAATTTGATGAAAAACAGAGTAAAAGTCCCTCGTCAATGCACAATTATTGTTACTTATATTTTCTTGTCTATAGATACATAGTTTTTCTTCATGACATTCAAATTACTGGGTTAAAATCAATGTAGTAAGAATACTATTTTTTAAGGGGGCACTTGGGCTGGCTCAGTCAGAAGACTGCTGACTTTTGATCTTGGGGTTGTGAGTTTGAGCCCCACCTGTGGTATAGAGATTACTTAAATAAATAAAACATTTAAAAAAGGGAATGTGGGCAGCCCCGGTGGCTCAGCGGTTAAGTGCCGCCTTCAGCCCAGGGCGTGATCCTGGAGACCCAGGATCGAGTCCCAGGTCGGGCTCCCTGCATGGAGCCTGCTTCTCCCTCTGCCTGTGTCTCCGCCTCTCTTTCTCTCTCTCTTTCTGTGTCTCTCATTAGTGAATAAATAAAATCTTAAAAAAAAAAAAGGAATACTATAATATACTTGATTGTATTTCAAATACTATGGTTTAAAATTTTAGCTATTTTCATTTGTCATAATTAAATATAACTGTATATGTATGCACATTTAAAATACCTACATATTTATATATATTACAATTAATTTTTTACCAGTATATGATATATATTACAATTAATTAATTTTTTTACCAGTAATCTATAATAGGAGAGAATTGGTAGCTTGGAAATGATCTTTGCATAACAGTCTGTTTTCTTTTTTTTTTTTTAAGATTTTATTTATTTATTCATGAGAGACACAGAGAGGCAGAGGGAGAAGCAGGCTCCCCACAGGGACTCGATCCCAGGACCCCAAGATCATGACCTGAGCCAAAGACAGACACTCAACTACTGAGCCACCCAGGTGCCCCAACATGATGTTTTCAACATGATGCAATAAAAAGTTATTATGTGCTTTCTGCCAAACTTACTCAGTGGTAGAGAATCATGATCTCACCTAACCTAAAGGAATGATTTAATGGGGTCTATTCACTTATATGCTTTTTTGTTTGGGGGAATTTTATGACCATTGACAATTATAAGCAAATAAATAGAATGATAGGAGATTGCTCACCTCTTAAAAAGACTGAAAATGCTGTCATGTTACCTTTTGCTATGCCATGTAAGACTGTTAGTCTGATTAATAATATAGCAAATACTATTTATTTCCTATCTCAGGCACCTGTACTCTCATATAGCAACAGTTTTTCTAAGATTTTATTTATTTGAGGGCAGCCCGGGTGGCTCAGCGGTTTAGCGCCACCTTCCGCTCAGGGCGTGATCCTGGAGTCCCGGGATCGAGTCCCATGTCGGGCTCCCTGGACGGAGCCTGCTTCTCCCTCTGCCTGTGTCTCTGCCTCTCCCTCTCTCTCCTCTCTGTGTATTTTCATGAATAAATAAATAAAATCTTTAAAATAAAAAAATAAATATTTTATTTATTTGAGAGAGAGAGCGTAAGCGGGGAGAAGGGGCAGAGGGAGAAGGAGAAGCAGGCTTCTCTCTGAGCAGGGAGCCCAAGGTGAGTGGCTCAGTCCCAGGACCCCGGGATCATGACCTGAGCCGAAGGCAGACGCTTAGCCAACTGAGCCCCCCAGGTGCCCCAATTATCAGTTCACCAGCTCTGCCATCAAAATAGAATCTCACAAGTCTAAGCCACCACCCTTCCTTGCCTGGGTATCGCAATAACCTCCTAACTGGCCTGGGCCTCTTCTGTTCTTGGCCTTTATTATTATTATTTTTTTTAAGATTTTATTTATTTGTTTGAGAGGGAGCACATTCGGGGAGCAGGGGCGATGGGAGAAGGAGAAGCAGACTCCTCACTGAGCAGGGAGCCCAATGCGGGACTTGATCCCAGGACCCTGAGACCATGACCCCAGCTGGAGGCAGACACCTAATCTACTGAGCCACCCAGACACTCCTGTCCTTGGCTTTCAGTAGACTCTGGAGTGGCCAGCACTCCTTCTAGAACTTAGATCATGGCCTCTGGTCAGAACCCCCCAACTCCTGCCCACCTCACTCAGAATAAAGTCCGAAGTCCTTACAGCGGCCTTCCCTGACCTGGATCCTCTAGCTTTCTGATCTCATTTCCTAACACCCAGCCCCTTGCTCGGGCACACGGGCCTCCCGGCTGTTCCTGACACACCTGCAGCTCCCATCCTGGGTCCTTCACACTTCCTCTCCTGTTTCCCTGGAGTTCTGTGGCAGAGCCTGCTAACTCACTTCACCCAGTGCTTTGTTCTCCCGGCGCCCCTATGCTGCACCGCCCCCCACCCCCCCAGCCCTAGAATACACTCCTCACGGCTGGATCTCGGGTCAATAAATGTGAACAGTTAAAACATCTTTTGCACAATTTGCAAGATGCTTTCCAGAAAGTTTATACACGTTTACTGTTACGAGCATAACCGTATCATAACACAAACACAGTAAATAGTAACATAAAGTAAGTTCTCGAATTTTACAGGTGACAAAGACACCTTGATCTTTTCATTTATATCTCCTTGAATTACTTCTGAAATTAAGTATTCTCCTACAACTGGAGGTCATTTCCTTACAGTTGTTTTGTGAATTGCCCTTCTACCTCTTTTGCTTGCTCACATCTCCATGTGGAAGGGTTGGCGTACTTTTCTTTTTCTTGTGTGATAAATATAGATAACATAAATTTTACCATTTTAATCACTTTTTAGTGTCCAGTTCTGTGGCATTAAGTACGTTCACCATGTTTTTTTTTAAAGATATTTATTTATTTATTTATTTATTTATTTATTATTTATTTAATTTTTTTTTTTCATGAGAGACACAGAAAGAGAGAGAGGCAGAGACACGGGCAGAGGGAGAAGCAGGCTCCATGCAGGGAGCCCAATGTGGGACTCAATCCCGGGACCCCGGGGTCACGCCCTGGGCTGAAGGCGGCGCTAAACCGCTGAGTCACCGGGGCTGCCCTACATTCACCATGTTGTGCCACTGTCACCACCATCCACTCCCGACCTTTCTCGTGATTCCAAACAGAAACTCTGCACCCACCCAACAGTAACTCCTCCCTTCCCCTCCCCAGCATCCCATAACCACTGTTCTACTTTCTGTCTCCAGGACTTTGACATTCTAGGGACCGCGCAGAAGTGGAATCATCCAATCTCTGTCCTTTTACGTCTGGCTTCTTCCACTCAGCATAGTGTCCTCAGGTTCCTCATTGGCCGTTAGCTGTCCTGAAAGCTGGTGTGTTCTAGCAGGTGTCAGAATTCCCTTCCTTTTTGAGGCTGCAGCATACTTCATGCACATTTGGTTGATCCATCCATCTGCTGAGACATTTAGGTCACTTCCACCTTTGGGCTGTTGTGAATGATGCTGCTATGAACATGGGGGTGCAAATAACTATTCAAGCCCCTGTTTTCCCTCCTTTAGGGAACACATCCAGAGGTAGAAGAGCTGGGCCATAGGTCATCTCATGTACAATTTGTTGAGGAACTGCCATACGGTTTTCACAGCAGCTGTACCATCTTACAGTCTCACCCCCAATGCTCAAGTTTCGAATTTCTCCACATCCTTGCTAACACTATTTTTTCTGCTTTCTTTCTTTCTTTTTTTAAATAATATCCATCCTAGTTAATGTCATGTGGTATATCTCATTTTGCTTTTGGTATAGCATTGGGCTTTTCTTC